CCGTATTAAACACTAAGAAAATTATTATTATTATTATTATTATTAGGAAAATAATAATAATATATTAAGTATTATTTTATTTATTTTTATTTTTTGATTTCATTATTATTTATCAAATAAGAATATTTTTCATAAAAAAATAAATAAATAAAATTATAATTAGTATTATTATTATTATTAATCATTTAAATCATTAATTATTTTATACTAATGAATAAAAATAAACATTATTTTTTAATGACATTGATATAAATTTTTGTGTTATTATTAAGAAAAAAATCATACAATTTCTGAGTTTATAAATTAATACAGTAATACAGTATAAACAATAATAATATTAATAATTATAAACAATAATTACTATAATTATACTATTGTTATTAATATGTTTATTATTTTAAATAAAAATAATGTGATTTATATATTTATTTTTGTTTAATTATTTGATTATATTTTTATCAAAAAAATAAATAAATGCCTAATAGTATTATTAATCATATAAATCGTTAATTATTTTATATTAATGAATAAAAATACAATTTTTAATGACATTGATATAAATTTATTGTTATTATAGAAAAAAAATTATACATTTAGTTTATATATTAATTTAATACAGTATAACAGTGATACACATTATATATTTATTTATTTATTTATTTAATATGTTAATTACATATAACCAAGTTAACATTATTATAAAAATATTGCCAATAATTTTAATGTTATTTTTGTTGTTGTATATAAAAACTGCGAAATAAATTATATATATATATATATATATTATTAATAAATAAATTGCATAATAAATCATTAGATTTTAATAGCTATTAATATATTAATAATATATAACTTATTATTATTACCATATTATATGTAAATTGATTGATCAAAAATAGATGCCAACAATAGAAACCAAATTTACCATTAGATGACCATTGAATCAATAACTTTAACTAAAATTTATTTTTATTTTTTAAAAATAATTAAATACTGAGATATAAAAAAAATTAATTAATCATTTTTAATTAGTTTAGCTTACCTTTATCATAACAGTTAAAAACATTGGTATTTTAACATTATTATTATAATTATTATAATTAAAATTATTTAGACAAACATATAATTTGTGTAATAATTTATTTGATTTTTTGTATTCAACATTCAAACTGCTGGCAAACAATATGACTGCACTGATCATTGAAAATGCTAACAATGAAAATGTTATGAAAAATATGGTTAACATTGTATTTAATTTAATGAAAACCAAATGAAACAATAGTATTGAACTGATTGTTGTTATGAAAAACCAATAGACAAATATAACCATGGACCATTGATGATTTAGTAGGGTCATTTTTACGATTAATTTATTAATTATTTTGTTTAATATGTTGATGTTTGCTAATAATTTTAACGGCAATTTATATTTACTACTATTATTATTATTACTATTATTATCATTATCAAAACAAATTAGCTTGATAATTTTTTGATTAACTATTGATTGATATTCAAGTTTAGCTAGCAAACATTGTACAATAAAATTAAGTAGATAAACTAGATTAACTAAATAATTATATTAAAATTTATTTCTATAAATATCAAATAATGCACTTATTTTTTTTATTAAAAATAAAATCTTATTACAATTATTAATTATTTTTTATATTAATACTATATGCTAAAAAAAATAATATTATTAATGACAATTAATGGCAAATAGAAATTATCTAGTAAAGTTTCTAGAAAGTTTTTCATGAATAAATTTCTATTTAAAAAAAAAATCTTATCTTTTTTTTAACTATTTTATGCTATTGTAATATCTGTACTAATTATACATAATATAATTATCTACACACTACCATATTAATTTGACACTTATTTATAAAATAAAACTTTCGAGAAATTTCTCTATTATTTTTAGAAATTTTCTTTTATTTACTGCCAACAACTCTAATAGCAATGCTATATATATATATATATTATAAGATAATATATTCCATGATATGTTTTACATTATTATATTTGAGATTAATTATCTAATTATCAGTACTATTGTACTGTAATATAAATATGATTTTTAATAATACTGTTTTCATATTAAATAAATTTTATATAATTTACATCAAATAAATAAAAAAAAATCAATTTTTAATTAAAAATCTAGATTTAATATAAAATTTATATTATATATATATATWTTAAATATTTACATTTTATCATATTAAACATATTATTATATATATATATATATAACTATAGTATTGTATTATATTGTATAAATATTTTATTATTTATATAATTTTTTTAATTCAATTAATAAACTTCAATCAATAATTTTAATTATTAATTATTATTATTATTTTAAATTGCTTTATTAATTATATTGTATATGATATCTGTATATTAATAAATTGTTATACATTTGCAATGTAAAAAAATTTAAGTTAAAAAATTATTGTATTATTATTGTTGTTGTTATAAAATATTCATTAGTTATTTAATATTAATAAATAATATATATGCAAACAATTATAGATTAATATTTTATATTATATTTATTGGATTTTATTATTATTTACTTGTTTATAATAATTACTTTTAGTAAAATAATAAATAATATTTTATTTTATTATAGAAATGTAAATTTATTTTGAAATCAATGTGTAATATATTTTTATTACACAATAGATAAAAATAAATAAAATTTCAAATCTATATAATTACTTATTTTTTAATAGTATTTATGGCAATAACTAACAATAATAATTATAATTATAAAATCATAATTATGATAATTACAATAATAACAATAATTATTTTATTAAAGTAATTATAATAATTATAATAATTATTATTATATCTTTTTTTTAAAAAATAAACAACATAATAAATAATATATATTAGAAAAGTTATTGTTTTATGAAATATAAATAAATATTATACTGTATAACACATAAAAAATAATCAAATATTAAATAAATTTTATTATTATTATAATTTAATAATAATAATGTTAAACAATTTACAATCGCTATACTATTTACACTATCTATTGGGCGAAACATGCTATCGATATGGTTATCCAAAATATTACCCAGGTTATTCATCAACTAACTACCATCATTATTATATTTATTTAGTTAATTTGTTGATCATATTTGAACTGGGTCGTGTAGTCTATATGTTCAACATAGACAATGATGACGATTATGATACAACATGGGCAATGTATCTAGGTGATTTTACATACTATTGGTCGGTTAGAAAAATGTTTAAGTTAATTATTATTATTTGTTTATTATTGGTTATTGTTGGCAAATATATTTCAAATAAAAAATTCAATAATAATACTAATAATAATACTAATGATAATAATGCTAATAATACTAATAATTATAATACTAATAATAATAAAATTATTAAAATTAATAGTAATAATAATAATAATAATACTAATGATAATAATGCTAATAATACTAATAATTATAATACTAATAATAATAAAATTATTAAAATTAATAGTAATAATAATAATAAAACAATAGAAAAATTCTATAAATTATTTAAATTATCCATGACAATTTATATAATATTTATACCATTTAGCTATTCAATGGCTACTATAGTTGGACATTATACCTGGAAACAATTTCTAATTTATGGCCTATTTTGGCATCACTATCATAATCTAGTCTATCTAATTGTTGGCAATATGATAGTCTATAATCTATTATATTTTATTCAACAGTGTCTAGTTGAAAATTTTCAATTCAAACAATTACATAGATACATTATTTTAAATACTAGTATTATTAGTATATCAAAATCATCAGGGATCATCAATCAATATAATAATAATAATAATTATAGACAAATCAACATAATTGGCAATCGTATTAATCAATTTACATTGAAAATTAGCCAGCTAAATCGACAATGGTCCATGATTATATTTGTCTATTTGTTTTCAATAACAACCATATTATCGATACTATTGTTTCATTTAGTTTTCGTTAAACTTAATCAAATATTATCAATATTTTTTACGACATTTTCATTGCTAGCATTTTCAATGCTAACTGCTGTCATATTGTTTGCTAGTAGTTTGAATATTAATTATAATAAATCAAATAAATTGTTACATAGGTTAGCAATTAGTTTTGGAAATTTAAATAAAATTAATAATAATAATAATAACACTAATAATTACAATAATAAATCACCAATWTACACTATAATGTTATTAAAGGTATAATAATTTAATATATATTTTTTCTTAAATTTTAAATTGATGATTTAACTAAACATATATAATATTAATTATTTTTTTTAAAAAACTATTTTTTTAGTTAAAATTATTGATTCAATGGTCCAGTGATTGTAAACTAGGTTTCTATTGTTGGCATTTATTTTTGATCAATCAGTTTACATATAATATGGTAATTTAAAAAAATTTTTATTAAATTAATTATTATTATTATTATTATATAAATTTTTCAATAAAAAAATATATTCTTCAAAAATCTTAAAAATACAATACATTTAACTAATATTTGTTTTTTTTATAATTTATTTTACAGTTTTTGTATACAATAACTAAAATAACATTAAAATTGTTGGCACTATTTATGTAACAACAAACTAACACAAAAATTTAAACACAAATTATAACTTTTTATATAAAAAATTGATTCATTAAATAAAATTAATTAATACAATAATTGTTATAATTATTTTGTAATTATTATTATTATTATGTTTATTAACTATATTTTATTTATTATTGTATATTATTTTGTATACTTTGAAAAATCAATTTGAATATATAAACAAAATATTGGACATAAAAAAATTTGTATTAGAAAACTATTAATATGTATATTAAAAAAAAAATTATTTAATTTAAAATCATTATTAATTAATTAAAAAATATTATTTATTAATTAATTAATTAAAAAAATAATATTAATTAATTAAAAACTATTATTAATTAATTAATTATTAAGTCTCTGTGCTATAGCAGCTACCAGTCCCGCTCCCTTACCCGATCCATCCTCGGCCAGTATCAGCTTAAATCGTTTCGGGCAGTCATCGGGCAATAGTTGGCCAATAAAATCGGTAATCAACGTATGAAACTTTGGATGATATTTATAAACTGAGCCGTCGATAGCAATGGTCACTACGGGTCGATCGTCGATACGTTGGATAAGATTGGATAGTATGGCTGCTAGCATACCGGCGCCGCGTACACTGACAATAGCGCATACATAGCGTATGATTTCGCGGTCGTCCACTGAAAGGTGGTCATAGCCAAGCAGTTTGCCGATTGACTCGTAGGTCTGGTCATCGGCACCACTGAAATGTGAGTGAGTGAGTGAGTGAGTGAGTGAAGACAGAGAAAGACAGAGAAAGACAGAGAAAGACAGAGAAAGACAGAGAAAGACAGAGAAAGACAGAGAAAGACAGAGAAAGACAGAGAAAGACAGAGAAAGACAGAGAAAGACAGAGAAAGACAGAGAAAGACAGAGAAAGACAGAGAAAGACAGAGAAAGACAGAGAAAGACAGAGAAAGACAGAGAAAGACAGAGAAAGACAGAGAAAGACAGAGAAAGACAGAGAAAGACAGAGAAAGACAGAGAAAGACAGAGAAAGACAGAGAAAGACAGAGAAAGACAGAGAAAGACAGAGAAAGACAGAGAAAGACAGAGAAAGACAGAGAAAGACAGAGAAAGACAGAGAAAGACAGAGAAAGACAGAGAAAGACAGAGAAAGACAGAGAAAGACAGAGAAAGACAGAGAAAGACAGAGAAAGACAGAGAAAGACAGAGAAAGACAGAGAAAGACAGAGAAAGACAGAGAAAGACAGAGAAAGACAGAGAAAGACAGAGAAAGACAGAGAAAGACAGAGAAAGACAGAGAAAGACAGAGAAAGACAGAGAAAGACAGAGAAAGACAGAGAAAGACAGAGAAAGACAGAGAAAGACAGAGAAAGACAGAGAGAGTGATGAATGAAAACAGTTTAGACAAACAAACAAACAAATAGGACATACCTTTCGACATCAGTTACATCGGATGACCGAAACTGTTCGGTTGTCAGCAATTCATCTGTAACTTTACCGCCGAACGCCAATCCTCTGGTGGCCAGATCGACAAGTACTCGGCGACAGATATCGCCCAGAAATTTGCCGCCAAATAGCTTCTCGAATGTATAGGAATTGGGAAACAAGGACTCCCTGTCCAAGGATAGGTCGTACGGTGTTTTAGCCCAATCGATGACACCGTTATCGCCGAAACCTCCACATTCCATATCAATGATAACCTCCCGCTGACCACTATTCAGCCACTGATCCCTGTCCTTCCAGTACTTGACGTTTTGGATTTTTTCCACATAACAAGCATTACTACCGGTACCTAAAATCAGGCCGACAGCTGCCATGGGATCCAAGTGCATACCCTGTACCAGTGTACCGGTAGCGTCGTTCAATATGGCAACCAATCGGACGTTCAAAGCACCCGACGGGTGCCGATCGATAGCCTGCTGTAGTAGTTGGGCAGCATCCTGGCCAACAGCGTCCGGGCAATCAAAATCCTTGGTCCAGGTTTCCAATAGTGCCGACCGTATAGACTGTTGGATCATCGGAAACGAAAATGTAAATCCCAACGGAATCGGTTTGGAATTGGCGATCCCCCGATTGGTGGGCAGATAAGTGGCCACAAAATCGGCAATACAGTCGGCAAAAAAGTTAAATAACTAGTTGTGAGGGTAATTAAAACAAAAGTAATCATTATTATTATTATTCAAGTATTTAGTTATATAAGATTATATATATTTTTATAATTAAATTTTTATAAGTTATTGTTAACAAAAAATTTATAGCTATATTTAAATAATCAGTTAAAAGCTTAGTTGAAATTTATCGATAATAATAATAATAATTAAATAATAAATATTTTTTTTTAAATAATAAATATTTTTTTAAATAATAAATATTTTTTTAATTAATAAATATTTTTTAATTAATAGATATTTTTTAATTAATAGATATTTTTTTTAAATAATAAATATTTTTTAAATAATAAATATTTTTAAATAATAAATATTTTGTTAAATAATAAATATTTTTTAAGTAATAAATAATTTTTAAATAATAAATATTTTTTAAACTAATTTAAAACTAACACTAACTAAAACATAGTAATTAATAATAATAATTAAAAAAAATAATTTTTAGTTTCATATAACATACATGACTAGACTGTCCCCTACGATACTCAGTAGGAACCGTATAGTGTTTAACTTTGAACTCATTTTTGTCTCCCTGTCCACCATCACCACCGTCACCATCACTACCACCGTCACCGTTACCGCCGACRCCAAACCTGGACAATACTACCCGAAAGTTTGTCGATCCCAAATCCAACGATATATAATCGCCKCGTTCGCTACCGTCGGGCCATTGGGTAACAAAAGTGTTGGCCATTATTAGACTCGATTTAATCGGCGGATCACTGGCCAGACCCGATCGGATCTCTTCGCTGAAAACTTTCGATACATTCAATAGATTTTGTTTTGTGTGCAAAAAGTTTTTCGTCAACTCTTTGATCTGTTTTTTTTAAAAAATAATTAAATTTTTTTAAAAAATACATTAATTCATAATAATATTATTATAATTATTAAATTTTAAATTAGTTTTAATAATTTGAATATTATTCATTAAATTATTATTTTATTTTTTTTGTTAATTAATTAATTAATACCTTTTTAATTTACAATTTTAGCAATTATTATATTTTAAATATATATATATATATTTATTGCTATAATAATTTTTAGTCCTTAAAATAAATAATATAATAAAAATAAATAAATAAATAATAACTAATTATTAACACACAGTTATAATTTACAATTAAAAAAAATATTATAAAATATTAAAATAATTTATTTAAAATTATAAAAATTAATTAATTTAAAATAATAATAATTAATTAATAAAACTATCTATTTTAAAGACGTTATAATTATAATTATAGTTAGTTAATTAATTTATTTATTTATTTATATATGCATAGTAAAAATTGACATAGCTAACTTTATCAGCATGGTCCTTATTGCTAATATTGAGCACTGGTGCATGGTATGGACTGTTGGCCAACAATAACTGATCCATGATGAAAATTAATTAATTGATGATGATGATTTATTTATTTATATAAAAAAAATATTTACAAAATATACGTAATAATAACACAATAAAATATTTATTAAATATTATTATTAAAAATCAAAATATAGCACACAATAAAAATAATTAAATAAATAAATAAATATATTGTTAGTTGTTTTAATAAAAAAATATTTAAAAAAAAAATTGTTTGTAATTGCATTGACTAATTCAATGTTAAATTCAATATATGATTTTTTTATCTATTAATATACATGTATACTGTACTTTACACACACACATATATATATACACTATTATTATTATTAATTAATTGATTATATTAAATATATATATAAAGTTTAAAAATTCAACAGTTATAAATTAGCTGGTATTTAACAAAATAAAATTATTATTATTATTATTATTTATTACATACTATTATTACATACAATATATATGCCCATTGAAACAATATTTTCAAGGCTATTAATTCAATAATTCAACAAAAAAACATATAATAATTTAAAACACGTTTTAATATCACATATCTAATCAACAACAACAAAAAATTTTCACATTTTTTTCATTGCTTATTATTATACAATAAATTAAATATAGTTAAAAAAAACTAAATACTTTATATAATCATAAAAAAATTATTTTAAAATTATTAATTAATACATAATTAAAATTATGATTATGATAACTATGGTTGACTATAAATTTTATGATTAATTTTTTTTTTTGATAATAATTAAAAATAATAATTAGATTTTTAGTTTATATAACACTTATAATACTGTTTGAATTATATCAACAAAAAAAATAAATGATTAGTATAATTATTATCAATCATTAATTAAACATTTTTTTGTTTAATTTAATATATAAAAAAAATATTGTTTATGTTTTGATAGCGGTATTTATTTTTAATAAAACATTTATTATCATTTAACTCAATGACTAGATATTTAATAATTTTTATTTTATTTTTTTAAAATTACAAATTTTTGCTAAAATTTATATTTAGTGATAGGATTTTTAAGTAATAATTATTATTTTAAATATTTTAAAAAAATTATTTACTGTATTATTGTTATTGTTATAATAATAACGTTTACTATATAATTGTACTAAAAAAAATCTAAATTATAATAATTAGGGTTGCCCAAATTTTTTATACATGTTAAGTTTATTTTGTCAAATTGATATATAATCATATTTTTGTGTCAAAACAAAAATTGCATAATAGATGCTTAACAACCCTAATAATAACTGTTAATTTATTATTATAAATTTATTAATTTAAATATATATATATATATTTGCTTATAATTATAATATTACGTAATATACAGTAGATGTAATTATTATTATTATATTATTATGAGTGTAAATCTATATATTATTATGTGCTAAATAATTATATATTTTTTTATAAATGTTATATTATCTGACATAAATTATAATATTGATTTTTGTTTGGTGTTGTATAATAAAATAAATATATGTATAATGTGTAGATTTTTTTAGTGACAAATTAATCAATTATTATATCTATAATATATATATATATAATATAAGATATATAAGTTACTAAAAAAATGTTTGTATTTTACAGTTTATATTAAATATAAAATTTTTTTATAATTTATATATATATAGATTATAACTACTTAAACATTAAGATAAATATAATTATTTACAAAAAATTACATTTAATAGAATTTTATAAAAATTAATTTATTTATTTATACAAATGTATATATTCTTTAAAAGTTTAAATTACAAAAAAATACTTTTTTTTTATTAAATTGTAATAATAATTTAAAAATTTAAAATAAATAACAATAATATATTAGTTATGTATATTAGTTGAAATTATTTACTAAGTATTTATAAGTATGAAATAATATATAYAATAAACAATATTACAAACAATTAAATTATTTACTACAATAATGATAATATATTATTATTATTATTATTCAATAAATATATGTTTTAGTTGTTTAATCAATTTGTTTGTATATCTATAATAAAAAAATTGTAATTTATTTTCAACATTTAACTAAAACATAAACAATTAAATTCAATTCAAATTTTTTAAATAAATAGTATATTTAATAAAAATTTCAACAAAAGTTTTATTAAATATTTTTTTTTAAAAATGTTGATTTTTAAAAATTTACACTTTTTTTTGTTTTTTGATAATTGGTTGACATTAGAAAAAAATTGTAAAAACTTAATTGTAATAAATAAAATGAAATAAATAATAATTATATCAATTAGATTAATAAATTTTTTTCATTAAAATTTTTCTCAATGACTATAAAATAAACAATTATGAAATTTTATACTAAAAATCATAATAATAATAATATCATTAAAACATTTAGTTTTTATTTGCAAAAAATAAATTGTTAACAAACAAAATATATCATTATAATAAACATTTATTTTGTTGTAAAATTGTTTTTATTTGAAAATATTATTTCAATATTATTATTATTATTAATCATTAAAGACATTAAACATATATCAAACAAACAAAAAACAATTTATAATATTAATAAACAAATATATATATATTATATGGAAATTTAAAATCATTTATTTATGCAATATTTAATTTTCAATGTCATTTTTATTGTCAAAAAAATTAATAATAATAATATATAAAAAWWTTTTTTTAAATAATATATTATTTTATTATAAAAAAATAATAATATTAATACTGTATAAAATAAAATTTATAGCGCACATGTACATAAAATTTATTGTATTTTATTTTTAATACTATATAGGTTGATATAATTGATATTTAAAATCAGGCACAGGTATTTCAATATCAACCTACTGTAGTTTGTTTTATTATTGCAAAAAGCTAACTTTCCCCATATAATATCAACCTATCATCATCACCAACAACAACAATAGTATTAATAAAAAAAGTCAAGTGCCGGCTCAGGTGGTTAGTTATTTKAGATAGCTTATTTGAGCTAACCTATTAACATCATTAACCCCATACMCCATCCATCAACCTAACCAACCAACCAAACAGTTATGGCCCAAATATGGGGCAGTTTTGTATTTGATAGTCAAAAATCCTATGATATTGAACTGAATCTACGCAATTGGGGACTGTTAGGTCATAAGGCCATCAAACGCGAGGATAGTACCCAAAGCAATSTGTTTACATCGGAAAACAGGCGTATTTTGTGGCACCGATCCAAACTGGCCATCCTATGGCTGCTGACCCTCAAKTATTCTACTGTTGTACCCTAACCAACGAATCGCCATGGGTCTACTATTTGGGCGATGCTAGCGGCTATATGGGTCAGGTACCTAAGCTGGAAATGTGTTTGATGATGGCCCTGTGGACCCTGCCCGGTCCGATAGTTATATTTGAATTTATTAAATTCAAAAATACTAAACGTATGGAATCGTGGGTCAGAATATACGATATGTTTAACAGTCGGGTCAGACAACGGGGAACGGGATGGACGGATGCCAGTGTATTCAATCATAATCGCCTACAAAAAGAGATAAGCGATCGCCAGATTAAACGCCGTTTTCGTTTACGTATCTACCAGACCAAAGCCCTGTACTGGTATTTTGTTATCGGTGCCGGTTTTATCGGTGGATCCAGTATTGTCTATATCATACTAACTGCTTGGCCCCGAAGTGGCGCCGATCCATCTATGCCTATGTATGGACATTGATATCGGTTTTCTGGATCTATTTTAATATGAAATCCATTAAGTCATGTCTGATTATATTTCATCAGATATGCTATTATATATGTTTAAGATATCGTAAGGTTAACACAAATGTCCGACATTTGTTGGATAATTGGGATCTGTATAGGACTAGTAATAAGCGGCGCCTGTATGCCCTGCTCAGGGAGCACGATGCTATCAGTGAACTGGCCTTACATTGTAATGAATTTTGGAGTCTATTTATTGTAACGAATACGGCTATTAAAACACCGCTACTATTGTTGGCCGTTCACGTAACCTTGTTTTATGAGTTGACATTTGGCGGCCGTATGGTTGCTATGTTTATGACCAGTTCCGTGTTTCTCTATACAACGGTTATCTATGTTTCGGCCGCACAGGTTGAATATTATGTATGTATAGGTTTTATATATATATATATATATTTATTTATTTATAATTATTATTATAATTTTAGTAAATTTATTATTATTATTATAATTTTAGTAAATTTATTATTATTATTATAATTTTAGTAAATTTATTATTATTATTATAATTATAGTAAATTTATTATTATTATTATTATAATTTTAGTAAAATTATTATTATTATTATAATTTTAGTAAATTTATTATTATTATTATTATAATTTTAGTATATTTATTATTATTATTATAATTTTAGTAAATTAATTATTATTATTATAATTTTAGTAAATTTATTATTATTATTATAATTTTAGTAAATTTATTATTATTATTATTATAATTTTAGTAAATTTATTATTATTATTATTATAATTTTAGTAAATTTATTATTATTATTATAATTTTAGTAAATTTATTATTTTTATTATAATTTTAGTAAATTTATTATTAAATCTAATAATAAATAGTATAATTTATTGTAAAATAATAAAATATTTTAAAACGTTTTTTAATGAATATTATAATATTAGTATTTAATAGTAAATATGCAGAATATACTTGAATTAAATTTACTAAAATAAATTAAAATTACTTTAAAAAAAACTTAAATTAATTATATAAATGTCTGTATAATATTGTTAGTATTATTTTTTAAAATAATAATATCAATATATATATATATATATATATGTATATATATATATATATATAAATATATATCTCATTTATAAATAAGTGAAAAATTTATTTAACTTTTATTATTATTATTTTATTTTTTTTGTTGATAGTCCTATTGAAATTTTATAAATGTTTTAAAATCCTATTAAATGTTTTTATTTAAAAAAAATGTAAT